TTTGTAAAGCAATGTTTCTTCCATGCCTTTTTTTTTTGTCACATCTTGCCTATCATGCAAAGCAATTTTCATTTTAAGATTAAAAATACTTTTATGCATCAGAAAATTTTGAAACTGCACATGTAAAATCTTTATAATGTTTGGATAGTTATCAAACATTTCTTAAGAAAAAACTTTATATTTTATCTGTTATTCTCAGTAATTAATCTCTGTATGGGTTTATTAGATTTGACTGACCTCGCAACCACCATAAAAAATTAGGAAGTAAACATAAATTATGGCTCTTTCATTCTAAAATGAACACAAATTATAACATGAAAACATAAATGTTTAGAAGAAATAGCTTAAATCTCATAACATTATACATTTATATATATTTATTATATTGCCCTTTCAGCTAACAATACAGAAGTTACAACGACGCAGCTCACATTCACTCATGTTACTGTATCAAATAACATAAAACTGACCTTTGGTTACAAAGAACCTTGTCTTGGCTGTATTTTAGTAGACTAGTATTTTGTAAAAAAATACAGTCTCATTTCAATTATTATATGTATGTATTTAGGTTATTACTAGTTTGAAGTAAGTTCTTAAACTTATCTTTCTTAAAACACAGAGCAGTAACTAAAGAAGTAAAGCAAACAATTATCTCTTCTAGTACTTGACGTAGGTTGCTAAGCCTTTAAAAATTTTGCACGTGGAGGATATGAAACAAAATATTTTTTTTTAGGTTTTATATATATATTTGAATAACTAAAAAATCATAAATTACTACATCAATACCAAAGAATTCTACTATAATTTATCAAGCTTAGTAACTAAGCTTTATTTGGGTCTAAAAAAATATGAAATTTCAAGCAGAATTAAGACACAACCTACCTCATTGAAATTTTGGTTCAAAAGAAATAAATGGCAAAAGGAACATTAGAAAGGCTGAGAAAACCACTAGGGGACATTCTGAGCTTCTGATCGGTTATTCATGTCATACATAGAAGTAAGTGTATATAAGGGAGCATTTCCAAAAATGGAAAAAGAGGTGCACGAGTCATCTTGTGAAGAGGCCAGAAACAGCCATACGTCTATAGAAAGGTGGAACTGAAGGCTCCTAGAATGAACCAGACAAGCAAGAAAATGGGAACCTGAGAAAGAGGGAAGGAAACAGGATTCTGATACAACAGGGGAGAGGAATGGAAGTAGAGGACCAGACTTACTGAAATGACTTTCAGAACTCATGATTCGACCACCAAGGACCTCCAAATGTGGGCAAATTGAAAAAGTCTGGCCCTCACTAGCCCTGATCCAAGAAGGGTGGTCAGAGTAAAACAAATAAAAGAAAAGGTAATGGAATTAACGGGATATGATTTCCACTAAAAGAGAGGCGCCACCAATGGTTTGAGTCCAAATAAGGGAAGATGAAATGATGATAATCGAAGCATGATTATCCACAGTATGTGGGATTCAAGGCATACTGACCCCCAAATGCAAATGCTCCCCAAAACAACTCGCATGAACTCCAATATCCAGGGAAGGAGGAAACACTTAAATAATGACCCAAAGGCTAGACTCTAAGAAGAGCAGGAGTGGAGCATAAAAAATGGGAGATAACATAAAATATCTGAATAATCAAATCCACCAAAGGGGAAAGAGGTCTGGGCAAGTACCCTCAAATGACACACAACCAACAGGAGGGGGAAAAAGGCTATACAAATCCAAAACTTCCCAACCACTTAAAACTGTGATAGAATAACCATCAGTTTGTTCTGTTTGTTGTATGAAATTGGTCGACATCCCAATGGACCAAAGCCATTACTTCATGGACCATGAATCGTGGTTCCAACCCGTTACACGTGGGTGGTAATTCTGCTTTGGCTGTAAGATTAGAGGGTGCTAGATACGATAGGGGTAGTTTCACACGCCTACTGGTGGAAAGTTGATGCATAATCATCTACATGTTAGTATGCAGAAATAAGTGGGAGTATCAAGGCTGGTAGAGAAAGAAAATTTGGCCAATAAAGGGCAGTATAAGTCGAGAAAGCTTTTTGCAAGATAAGGTAAGATATTATATCAGAATTTTATTTTCTGCAATAGATTGTTATGTGGTTCAGAGAAATAGATCTTATAACTCATGTTTAGTTTATTTTGTACAACAGAACCTTACCTTGTCCAGTGAAAGAGAAAATCATCAGAATAAGCAACAATGGCTGGTAGTAAAACAGAAACCAACCACAACAGTAGAGAAGGAAAGAATTCAGACAGCACTGGACTCTACAGTATGAAAGACATACAAGGTTACTGTTATTACAAGTATTATAGCTAGAGATGTTTAATAGTTTTAAAAGTTATAGACTGAATTTTTGCAGATTCTTCAACTTAAACATTGTCCTGAAATAAAATATTATGGAAATCAGTAATTTTCTCTATGTCACCAACATGTTAAGTTTCATTAAAAAAATGTTACATAAGGAACAGTACTTCATATGGTACTAACTACTTCCAATATGGAACTTACAGATATATATATCTTAACATCCTGTACTCTATATTGTAGTCTATTAAAGTACATCCTCGATTCTACACTGTAGACTAGTCATGGATTCATAAAACATCTAGTTTAACATCTTGTATTATATATTGTAATCTAGTCATGGGTTCATAAAACATTTAGTTTAACAACATCCTGTATTATACATACTAGTCTAGTCATGGATTTAAAAAAAACATCTATTTAAACAACATCCTCTATCATTTACTGTAATCTAGTCATGGATGTATAAAACATCTAGTTTAACAACATCTTGTATTATATATTGTAGTCTACACATGAATTTATAAGACATCTAGTTTAATCCCATGTGTACAGGTGAGTTTCAAAGTGCATGTGCCATGACCTTTTAGAGAGCAATTGAACATGGTATCATGTATATGATGTCAGATACATTTAACTCTACACTACTGATTTAGCAACAGTTCATGGTAGAGGAGAGTAATTATTGGATATAGTATACAGGGATACTATTCTATAGCTGTAGTCTAGACATGGATTTATAAACATCTACTTTAATAACACCCAGTATTCTATAGCTGTAGTCTAGACATGGATTTATAAAACATCTACTTTAATAACACCCAGTATTCTATAACTGTAGTCTAGACATCGATTTATAAACATCTACTTTAATAACACCCAGTATTCTATAGCTGTAGTCTAGACATGGATTTATAAAACATCTACTTTAATAACACCCACTATTCTATATAAAGTAGATGTTTTATAAATCCATGTCTAGACTACAGAATAACATTCTATATTTTACTGTATACACTACTATGCATGTTAAAAACTTCTAGTAGAATCATACCAATTGTTCCACTTTTTGCCTTAGCTGGATCAAGTCCAGGTTGTTTACAAAAATAGCCGGAGTGGTCAAGAAAAACAGGACCAAGAAAAGAATAAGGTTAACTGCTACAGCACGGATGTACCATTTGATGTCGCTGACTGCAAGATTCATCCTGATCACAATAAGTGTATTATTTGAGTCACAATCAGTTTTAAATGGTTATCTAAACTATCTAGAAGTTACTTCTCAAAAGAAGTTTCATTTCCTAGGAAGAAAGTCAGAGATCTGTAAACTTGAGATTAAGAGTTTAGGAAATACTCCTTTACATTTAAGAAAATGTATTTTCATAAAAATATAATACTAACATTCAACTAAGAACAGGGAGTGTCTAATTTAATCAGATTATGACAAGTAAATTATACCATGCTTTATTAGATTTTAGTTAAGTTTAATATCATATACATTTGTTAAACATTAAAATGTGCTTATGACTGACAATTATGTGGTGTAAAATTAAATGCTGCACATAATATAATGCTAACATTAAATTCACATATTATAAAATTCAATATTTTGAAATTAGATTTTAAACTACAGATCTTCTACATTGCAATTACATTTGCTACATAACATTTACCTTTAATTTTGAATGGTTTATAAAAAATGATTTGTTTTATTAAATATCTGTCCACCTTTATATAAAATATATTTTGTAATACAGAGTTTTAAGACTTGCTTTAGATTGAGTATATTTTCTCAACAGTTAAAAATACATGTTTATACATCTGACATCTTAATCAATCACATGATGTAAGAACAGTATGCATTAAAACACTGAAAAACATCTGGATATTCAAAACTAAAAATTATCTTTTGGTACATACATTAACATTTTTCCTAAATTGAAAATGTATTTCCAATAATACTTGCTTCTGCTGACACATATAGCTATTACTCGACCGCCAGGGTTTCAACTTGCCTATCTAAGCATTAGTCTGATTTTTTCTCGCTTGCTCAAGTCTTTTATACCCCAATCAACTGCCCTTGGCAATATTTGTCCGTGATACTCTCAACCTACATCAATGCACCCTCTATCCTGATACTGTATATAAGCACCTCATTCAGATAATATTCTCTAATTTTTTTAGACTGACTCAATCCCAGTCTCTAACACCAAGCTCTAAGTGGGGAGGAAGAATAGCAGAGGTAAGTATTATTGGAAATACATTTTCAATTTAGAAAAAGAGTGTAGGAAATCACTCAAACACTCTGAAGGAAAAGCCTCTGTCTACCATGCCAGTGACTGGAAAATGGGTGTGGTAAGGACTCCCTAGCTCCACTAGTAGAACCATGGAGGGGGTAATATGCATTGGAGAGTCCTAAGGAACAGTGCTCTGGAAACACTGCAATAGATGGACCAAGTTCCCTAAATTTTTAAAAGCAAACTGACCACAATTTATTCAATCTAATGATTGACAGGGATGGGTAGGATTCCTTTTCACTTTACTTATGATAGTCCTTGAGTGGTGGTCCAGCATAAAATGGTAACACCATCTGGTGAGCTCCTAGATGGTCGTATGGAACACCTCATTCTTACAAAGCCTGTTGTAACCAGTAGTAAGTATAGTGAAATTGGTTGCTAGTGCAGAATTGGATTGATAAAAGCACACCTGTCTTGGCTACACTCACCACAGAGTGGGATTCAGTGAGAAAAAAAAGTGGTAAGGTACCCTGGAAAGTAAAGATAAAGTAAAAACTACTCACCCCTCCTTATAATCTAGCAGATGTGGTCAAAATGGTCACAGGGGGTAGGCAAAAATCCTCAGAAAAATAAACTACCAGACCATGTAAATAATGGGAGAGAAAAGTATTGGGAGAAGTCCTCCTACCAGCCAGCACGATGTCCTCCAGCAGGCAATTCAATCAGACAGCTAAAAACATAGAAATGTGACAAATCTAATGAGACGCAACTTGCAGAAGTTTCCTTGCCTATAAAAAAAGTCCAGAATAAGCAATATGGATCAATTTGCAAAGCCACCTCATCAAAGTAATCAGGGATAAATCTCGGAAACTGAAGGATCCCATTGAATAAAGAGTCCATTTCTAGCACCTCGAAAACAGTTTGTGTGAGCCACATAACACCTCAGGGTCTGACAGGACATAACAAGTGATCTGAGTCCAATCATTCATAGTGGTAAGAAATAGATGGCAAATGAATTGGTGAGAAGGATTTATCCCCTTCCCTGAGTATAGCAGTACATAAGTGGAGTGATAGAGTCCTGTGCATAGGTATTGCAAATAACTCCAACCTACGATGTCCACATGTCAGCAGCAACAAAAAATATACTTTAAGGGAAAGGTGATACACGGTACACAAGGCCAAAGGTTCGAATGGATGTCACGATAAAGCATGTAATACCACTTTAATATCCCAGCTGGGTAATGGAAAAAGCAGTTTGGGACGAAGGACTCTAAACGATTTGAGAAAGCCGAATAGCACTGGGGATTCAAATACTTTCCAATGTTTAGAATATTGAAAAGTAGTCGATAAAGCTGCCTTATATAAAGCATGAGAAGATGAAGCTAGACCTTTGTCAAAAAGCCAGGTTCAATTTCCTCGTGAGACACTATTGGCAATACGTATGCCCTTTCCATTGATAAATGGCCATTGTGGGTCTACAGATAGATTGAGACAAATACAAGACCACTTTTAGAAGTTAAACCCTGATGCTGTGCGAAGGATTGCATAACCTTCATATATAAAGTCTGAATTTGGGAATGTCAGATTGAGGTTGCCTCAACAAAGATGGCAAAAGAGGAAGCGGCAGAGGTGGACACTCTTGAAAGTACTGTAGAAGAGGAAACTATGGTTTGGCTGGCTACCATAAGGCTACCAACAATACTTAACAAGCAGTTGATCAAATAATAGCCAGAACTATGGATAATAGATGAACTGGGGGAAAGGCATAAAGGTCAATCCTGTTCAATCTTGACTGAATGCATCCATCGAAAAAGCCAGAGGATGAGGAACCGGGGACCAAAATGCCTGTAGTTGAGAGATCCAACGAGTGGCAACTGCATTGATTATCGAAGTCCCGAACTGAGAGAAAACCACCAGAAAATCTCACAATGGAGCATCCATTCGGTCGGGAGAATTTGGTTGAGTCGAGACAGATGAGCTGCTATTAAATTCGTAACCTCTGGAAACATGGCAAACCAGGAGGCTGATATGATGGGAGTGAGCCCAGTAGAAAATATACAAAGTACACCTGTCTGACAAACACTCGCCACAGAGTAAAATAAAAAGATGTAGAAAGAACATTTATCTTCCATCCACAGATCCTGGAATTCCTGACTGTCAATATATGCACCCCCATCCCTGAAATGAGGTATCTCAGGACAAGAGGGTTGTATAGAAACACCAATGGCAGCATTGATCCGATCCAACCACCAATCGAGAACTAAGATGTTGCTCCTGACTGGATGATTCAGTGGATCCACTGGTCATGCAGTGACCACTGAAGGGACCATGTGTGCTCATCCCAGAGAATTCAGAGAATCGAAGGATGCCCACATCCCCAAAAGAGATAGAACCATCCACACTAGTAAGACCCCGACTTCCTGTTCCATAGCCTTGAGCCAGATGGGAGTTGGTTGAGCCCAGCTTAAAACATGTTGAGAAAAGACACCCAGATGGACAATATCATAAATCAGAAAGATAATGGATTTCTTAACTCTGATAGCCTTGGAATGATGATCCACACTTCACTGATCTGTTGGAGGTGGAAATACCACAGGTTGGAATGATAAAGAAGTTGGGGAAATTAAAGGAATGACCAACTCCGATGCCAGAACTTGAAGTACTCATGGATCTGTGGTGAAGGAATTCTAGGTGTCCTTCAATTGTTGTAACCTTACTCCCACAGACCCCACCCACATAGGATAGTCACCGATGCCATTGGTGATGGTCTGCCTGAGAGGAGGAGCCTTGAACCTAAAGATGGAATCTATTCTAAGTGTTGATAGAGTAAGAAACAGAAGCCAGGGATTGGGAAACATGACAAGCTGTTGTGCCATGACTTCCAGCAGGAGCCAACGAAAGTCTAGAGGCCAGCAACAACTAGGAAAATGGCCAACGGGTGACATCAATTCATGATATCAATGCTTCTGGGACGCCCACGAACATCAAGGGACGAAGACAAGGAACATCACATAACTCACACAAGGCTACAGCAGGTAGACAAACTCCTTCCAAAAAGGCATCTCTACCCAATAAATCCCAACAGAACATGAGTGAGTCAAATGAATCCAAGAAATTGTGATCTGTTTAAAGTGATCACAGGGTCCAGTCTGGAACCCCACATATCCAAAAGAGGATCTAGTCTGTGGAATCAAAGTATATATCCACCTGACGGTGGTAAGTCAAGCATGCTATTCAGACAAATGAGGGGGACAAGGTATATCTATCCCATCATGTAATAGAGCAGTAAATCTCCCAACATGAACAGCTATATCAGGTGTAGGAGGAAAAACCAAGTAGTCACTCTCACACCTCTCAGCCATGAAGGAAGGAATAGATTCAAATGCAACTGGAGAAAGCCCCCAAACCTCACAAACCCAACTGACTAACTGAAGAAATGGAGAAGGAGATGGCTGATTCAAATTGGCCTCATAAGAAACCGACCTAGTAAACAAAGATGAGAGACACCTCAGACTGCTTATATGTCTCCACCTCACAACAAATAAGATCACAAACAGCCTCAACCCATCTTTTCAGAGATACTAGATAACAAAGGTGGAACAGAGGAGGGCTGATTAGCCTCCATGCTAAAAAAGTAACGTGAATTCATGCCTGAAAATGGAGTGTTGAAATTTTTAATAATTATTAAATATAATTTATACAGAAAGCCACTAGATGATGTGAAAATCGTAACCAGGTACTTTAATTATTACAGCACTTGTGTAGAGAAACCTGTGTCTAAATGCTTTGTCGAGAAAAAGTGATAAAATTATTTGAATGAGGTGCTCATATACAGTACCAGGATAGAGGGAGCATTGACTTAGATGGAGAGTATATTGCCAAGGTTAACTAAGTGGGTTATAAAAGATTGGAGCAAGTGAAAAAAAACAGACCAATGCTTAGAAGGGCAAGTTAAAACCCTGGAGGTCAAAGAATAGCTACAAGTGTCAGTGGAGTTAAGTATGTTTTGGAAATATAGCTTTGTAAAATGAGAAAAAATAAAGTAGCAAGGAAAAGAAGAAAATTTTTACACACTTATTACCTTTAAAATAAATCTAAAAACAAAGAAGTCACAAAGAACAAAATTAAAAAAAATCCACAAAAGATGATACTCAATAACCTGAGTGCTATTGGAAGGCAGGTATGAAAATATCTGATAATCCAAGTGCTATCATAAATATCCAATAACCCAAGTATTATTAGAGAGTAGGTAAGAAGATATCCTATAACCCAAGTTGAAATCAGAAAATAGGTTATTTTCAGCCCATATACAGTCATTGAATAGATTGAGTTTAAGTTTATACCGAATAACTGGCACTGATTAGGTTGCAAAGATTATTTTAAATTTATACAAGTTCATTGAGCAGATTCCAAGAACAGGTGCAAAGATGGTCCACAATCAAATTACTTAAAAAATGTAACTGTCACACCAAAAGTCCATGTGAAAAACCAGAATTCTGAGACTAAGTGTTTTTTAATTATTCACAATGCAAAATTAAACTGAAATGAAGAACTACTATGTAAAAATTAGGGCTATGTCATCACTGAACTGAATGCTCAAGTTTAGAACACAGAAAACATTGATACAAAAACCTGATGAAGAATGTTAACATGCATGATATTCTCATACTTAGATTTTAAATAATAATTTCAGTAAGTTTAGTATGTCCACTGTAACTAGCATAAATATTTTATATACAAAATGTCCATTTTCACATGTAAACGTACTTATGAAAAGGATTCTGCAAATTAAGAGACAGTACAATACTTACCAAAATATATCTTCAGGAGGTGGAGCTAGTTTCACCTGCCAGTTGTGTGGATCTAAGATACAATTCAAACTGGATGTAGGAGGGTTAGTACTGCACTTGCACTGTTCTTGGTGGTCCTTATACACGCTGAAATGTTTCATCAATCTAGATTATTATCATGCTGTTTGTAGTTAACACACCTTAAATACATTTTCACAGTATCTTTTTAAGTTCTTTGAACACATTTTTAATGTGCTTTACAAGAACATATATAAGGTCGCATCCTGTAAGGTAAAATATAAAACAACTCTACTGAATAAGACAACACTAAAAGGTAAAATATAAAACAACTCTCTGAGTAAAACCAAACTAAACAGTAAAATATAAAACAACCCCACTGAATAAGACAACACTAAAAGGTAAAATATAAAAACTCTCTGAGTAAAACCAAACTATAAGGTAAAACATAAAACTACTCTCTGAGTAAAACCAAACTAAATGGTAAAATATAAAAAAAAAACTACTGACTACAATCACACACATTACAGAAACAACTGCTGAGGAAAATCTTCTGGAAATCTGCATCAGATATAAAGCACTTCTTCACGGCAAGTGCAAAAGGGAATCTTCAACTGTTAGTGATAAATGATCATGAACAGTGACGGACTATTTACTGATGTCACTAACTGTCCTTGGGCAATATAAATGCTCAGTATTACAGTTGAAATGTCTGTCATTCACTCTGCATAACAACAATTTTATAATTCACATAAAGATAACTATATGTTCAAAAAAACCAAAGCTTCATCTCTCAGTGCTTCAAAAGCTTTGCAAAAAAAAAGAGCAAACTATACTAAGATGGCAAATAATGGCCATCCTGTTGAATTTATTTCTAGAAAGTCTACCTTTTAAAACTTTTAGGAAGAACCATGATATTAGAAAAGAAAAATATTTCAAACTGAAAGATTGTAACTGTCTCATTAGAAGCATTTTGTGATAGTCAACTATTTAAGCTTAACGTTAATAATAAGTTCAAATGAATTATTTTTCCTGTACAGTTTATAAACATTGTCACAACTATGGATGAAGAATAGGATTATTTTATTTGTAATGACAATCTATTTGCCACCATTTCTTAGTCGTGTGAAAAGTTCATTATATTTTGTATTTTGAAAGCTGTGATTTTGTTTGAGACTAGATATTGTGCCAGACTTATGAAAATACCTCTATTTTGTTGTAAAAAAGCTTGTGTTCATTGAGTAGAAATGAAATTGTTATTCTTTTGTATTATGAGAGATAAACTTATATATACTGCCTTATTCAGTTACAATACATTTGTTAACTAAACAAAATTATACTTTTTGTCAGATTAAGGTTTATTTGATTGTGATATTTGGACTGGTAGGCCAGTGGATAAGGCATTGTTCTTATTAGTCAGAGGATCATGAGTTTGAATCCTTGCACCATCAAGCTGTGGGAAGGTAATAACATATCAATAAATTCCACTAAGTTTGGCCCATGAATGGGCAGTGAGTCGACATTTTTTGTGTTTACATATTATACAGTACAGTAATACAGGATCATAAGAATATATATATATATCACACTAAAGGATCAAATAAAAACTGTTTTAGATAAGCTATACAAAAAGGTCAAGTAATAAATCACTCATCTGCATAAACCACACTAAAGGATCAAATAACAAAACAATACTGAAAAATAAGACCACATTCTTCTCTGTAATATCATACAAAAAGATCAAAACGAGAAAAACTCCAAATAAGATCACATGAGCTTACCATCTATATTTCATTTCTGCTCCTTTTTTATGATCCTTGGACTTAATAATAAGTTGGCAAACAATAGGGGAACATACATGTTTCAACAGAACATTGGTCTTTTTTCTTCATAACGTGCTTTTTTACTCAAGGATCCTTGGACATGAAACTCTGTTGTTGGCTTTTATTATGTGATATACAATTTTAAAAACACTCTAATATACATGTTAATCATTGGTTCAAATAACTTATGATTTGGAGTAACTGATTCATTTAAAACAACAGAATAATAGAATTTTGTTGATAATGATACTGAGAAATTAATCATTTTTGTGATACTTTTAATGCTTAAAATGTTTCGTAAGTTCTTTTTAATATAATCCTTTAGTGTAATGACTCCTAGTGGCTTAGCAACAAACATCACAACAACTTGTAGAGCCAAACATAATATAACAACACTCTTACATTTCTGCCATTGTGTCAGTCTGGAAAGTAACAAAGGCTATCCCCAGGGGTTTCTGTAGGGAAACAGATTTTTCTCTGTCATAAGCTGATATCAGTGCATGTTCTTCCTCACTGTAGTACTCAAGACCATCCACCTGGAATAAAATGTTGTGTAAAATAGACCTAAGGGATCTTAACATATTAAAAGATTTATGAGTCTTTTTTTTTCTATTGTAGGGTCTATTATAACATTCTGTCACTTATTTTTTAATGTAACTGAAAAATAGTAATTAAAACACTAATATTTCACTGTGCTTCGCAAACACACATTTTCCATAAACTCTCAGCTATCTTAGGTGGGTGATGTCACAGAAGTCAAGTGAATAAGCCAACTGTCACAGAAGATATTGACTTTAGTGAGAGGAGATGTATTAATAAATTTGAGTCTTCAGTGGCAAGATGATGTATTATGTGACTTATGGGTATACTATCAGAAGCTAAAAGGGTTCAGGAATTAGTTTCTTTCATTTCTTGGCAAGTCCAATAAAAAGAAAGATCTGAATACACAAAATTAAATGGGTTAACTTCATTCCAGTCAAATACAGCAGAGTATTTCTCAACCACTTTGAATGAGACTGCTGTAAAAAAACATGTGGATGAGTTAGCTAAAAGCTGACCATCAAGAAAGAAATAATAAATTATAACCAGATACCATACAATAATATTCTGTGGTAGTTGTAAATCAAAACCTAAACATACAGGAGAAATGATAGTGAACCCCCACTATCAAGTAATAGATTACTCTTACTGAATGAAACACCACTATCAAATAATAGGTTGCTTTTATTCAATGGAATCCCAGTATCAAATAATAGGTTGCTTTTATTCAATGGAATCCCACTATCAAATAATAGGTTGCTTTTATTCAATGGAATCCCACTATCAAGTAACAGATTCCTTCTACCCAACAAAAACAAGTATTAAGTCATAGGTTACTTCTACTCAGTGAAACCCCACTATCAAGTAATAGGTTACTTCTACTCAGTGAAACCTCACTACCAATTAATAGGTTACTTCTATGCAGTGAAACCCCACTACCAATTAATAGGTTACTTCTATGCAATGTAACACCACTATTAAGTAATAGGTTGCTTCTACTCAGTGAAACCTCACTACCAACTAATAGGTTACTTCTATGCAGTGAAACCCCACTACCAATTAATAGGTTACTTCTATGCAATGTAACACCACTATTAAGTAATAGGTTGCTTATACTCAGTGAAACCCCACTATCAAGTAATAGGTTGCTTCTACTTAATGGAACCCACTATTAAGTACTAGGTTGCTTCTACTCAGTGAAACACCACTATCAATTAATTGGTTGCTTCTACTCAGTGGAAATAATATCAAATATTGGGTTGCTTTTACCGAATGAAACTTACCAGACTGTATTACAAAATATTTCAATATTTCACTGTTTATTTCCTTCTGTGCCTCAGTATAATTTGAAGAATATTCATATATCTCATTTTGTGAATCAAGAGTAGAAACCTCTTCCACAGGCTCAAATTGATAAGGTTGAATGTGAAGTTTATCATGTATATCCTCAAACTCTATTTCTATGTATATTCTAAAAACAACCTTGACTCAGTGCAGGATCATAGTCACAACTCTTTATATAATCCTCAGATCTCTTCACTTGCTACTACATCATTAACTTTCATGGGGAAATGTGGCAAAGTTTTGGTGGTTTTTCATTATATTTTGGCTTTTAGGTTGTTTTTTTAAGTTTGTGACAGCATGTTACAATAGACCCTAAATATGTCATTTCTAAAAACAAAAGATTTATAAAACATCTAATGTCAAAATAAACTGAAATTCTACATGAAATTCTGTGAAAACTTGGAACGTTTATTCTCTCACATACTTATACAACTATGAGAGGCCACCTTTCAAAATGTAGTGGGCTATATAGACTTGTAAAAGCTTACTTGAAGATGTCACTACAATGGCTACATGCAACACAGATCTCCAAAGGTGACAGGGATGTGACAAAGGCACAATCAGCTGGTAGAGTTGTTTTACGCAAGAATATTCAATGTTCCTTTCCCAAAAACTTGCTTAATAAAAAACTTTTGATTAAGTAGTAAGAGTTGATTGGATAAATCTGTAGGAATTATAATATCCCATAGCTTGAAATTAGCAATAACTACTTGGCAAAATGCCACTGGGTTTTAGAAACCAGCAAGAGACACTAGCATTTTTTTGCCTGTTGAAAAAAGCATGATTATGAATATTAATACCAGCCATAAACTATTGTTAAAAGTATTCACACAAAAAACTGGCTGCAAACATTATTATTTTCTTTTCTGAAAATAAATTTCAAATAGATAACTCCATGCAACAGATAGCTAAATCCTTGCACCATTGCTAAAAACATATTTGTGCACATGCCAAACCTTAAATAAAACTCCCACCACAACATGTATTCACACATACTGCCCTCCATCAACAGCAGGGTTACAGTAAAAGCAAACCCCATGAGAACTCACAAAGGCCCATTCCTGACAAGGCAAAAGAAATGCACCAAAAGTAGGGAGACAGGGTAGGAGATTCTGTGGAGAGGTATCTATCTGAAATACAGTAGGGAGACAGGGTAGGAGATTCTGTGGAGAGGTATCTATCTGAAATACAGTAGGGAGACAGGGTAGGAGATTCTGTAGAGAGATATCTATCTGAAATACAGTAGGGAGACAGGGCAGGAGATTCTGTGGAGAGGTATCTATCTCTGAAATACAATTACAGGTAGAGCAAATTTTAACTTCAAAAACTCCACCGATCAGATAGATCCTTTCTAAAATTATTGTACCAGAAATGATAAACTCTTAGATTGGGGGGGGGGGGTACTAGGTTGGCATCACTCAGTGAGAACTGCTTCCTTCTTCTTTGCTAAATAAAGGTGGGAAAGCAACCTGTACTGTCAAAAGAATATTATGTTAAAATGTTGCATAGGTGGCCAGAATGCAAGATTGCACAACTTGGCATTATATGTCAGGCTGCTGCATAAACATGGTGTATAGTGTGGCTAAGGCAATACGTGAGGCTTTACAATATGCAAAACATACTTGCTACCTCGAGAATGAAATCGAGTTAACTGGGACACTGTAGATGAACATATAAGAGGCCAAGGTGGAGAACAAGCAGGTATGATTTTCATCAGTGAAGCTGTCAAGGTCATGTTATACAGTCTCAAAAATAAAATGAAGTGTAGATAGATAGTGAAAATGTTGAGCAAGAGCAAGACAAACACACTGAGGACAAGTAAGAGACAGAAAAGAAGGGAGGAGATCCCCAGGCTAGGGGAAGAGATTCAAGGGCTCACGGAAAGGAGAAGAATCTCCACTACATGAAGTAGAATAAGATTCTCACAGTTGTGGACGATATAGCAGATGGGGTTTAGTACAAGGTTGAGACAAACAGGTATCGGCATGAACATGAATATCAAAGATGAGTGAAACATAAGGTAGTCAGAAGGAGAAGGCTAATGCAACAAGGTAGCCCAAGATTCAGCTAAACAACAGGAGAAAGAGGAAGAATGTCAAATAGATGTGTATTCAATACAGCAGAAGACAAACGAGTCAATCCCTGATCCTCATCAGGAAGAGAGGAACCAGAAACAAAAGCAGGTGGTGGAAACAGTTGTCAAAAAATTGTCTAAAGATGGGAAGGCTCAGCTGAGGAAATAGAAGCAGGTGGTTGAAAATCCTAAGCCTGATATGAAGATAGAATGGAACCAATCAACTGGTGCACAATGTGTAATATCATTGACCATCAATGTGTCTCCAGTTGCGATTGAAACAGTTGGGGTGACTCAAGTTGAGAAGTGTATGGAGCTTGGAAGGTATCAGAAACATGGATACATGAATTCATATTTGAAATGATCCATGAAACTTACTATTTTTGTTTAGTTTAGGTGAGCTTAGTTTAGTTGAATGTAATTGTACTTGAGTATAAACAAGAAATAATCTGTAGTTCCAAAAACAATGAAAGCAGTACCAAGTAAAGAATTAGCCTTTGTTGAAACATAAGTGCTCATCAAGTTTAATGATTTCAGAGGATGAGTCACCCTCCTACTGGCAGAGGGCTAAAGTCTAAAGATGTTTGCATCACAGACTGGCATAGTACACATTACTATATATAGGGGTGAGATTTTAGTTCAAATAGATGTGTATTCAATACAGCAGAAGACAAACGAGTCAATCCCTGATCCTCATCAGGAAGAGAGGAACCAGAAACAAAAACAGAAGGAGAAGGCTAATGCAACAAGGTAGCCCAAGATTCAGCTAAACAACAGGAGAAAGAAGAAGAATGTATATCTTATACATAGCTATAAACACAAAATCTTTTCAGCAGTGGTGTGAAGTAATATTTATTTGTATCATGGAGAGGTAAGCTGCATATCTGAAAGAATATTTATGGGAAAACTATGCTTGCTAAGATATTTGATCAATGAGGCTTTACTGTTAGTTTGTTTGCATCACTCTTTTGCACCTGTCAATGGGATTTCTCAAGTTTAAAGCAGCAAGTAAAAATGGGGAATTCATGCAATGTTTTTGTTATTTTTATATTATGAAATGTAATAAATATCACAAACACAGAAAGAATGTGTGACACTTTCTCAAAATTCATATAAGCTGTCCATTCAGGGCAAGTAACAAGAATATTTTTTAATAACTGGCTATAGCCAGTAGTCAAAAATGTTTCAAGCCATGTATTCTACAGAATAATGAAACTCATCATGACAAGGGAGTAGATGGTCAACATATCTTGGCCAAATTGTTAAAAATTCACATTTTCAACAGGACTATACATACTTTTATACTAAGTTAAACTTAAACACAATTATACAAACTCATACACAATTATACATATTTATATACAGCTATACATATTTAAATATATACACATTCAAATATACTTATACACAGCTATAAACATTTATAAAAACAGTTATACATATCTTAACACAGTTAAACTCACTTATACAGGGCTATACACACTTAAACACAGCTACACTCACTTATACATATCTAAACTCACTTATACAGGGCTATACACACTTAAACACAGCTACACTCACTTATACATATCTTAA